GGAACCTTAGATCGAGCAGATAAAGAAGAGCTAGAATATAAAATTCAAAATTTGTCCGAAAACGGCGTCCAAGCTAATGAACTCAACGAAGTCATAAAAACAGTAAATGAAGGCATAAAATTAATAAATTTATTAAGTGCATTACATGAAAGCGATCAAATATTAAACATTTTATTATTTAATTTACAACAGTTTACTGAGTATGTAGAAGATATTGAACTTGGGATGCAATGCAGTTAACACGACTTGGCATTTTTAATCATAAATTACTAAAACATGATTATCTAACAAATATAAACTCAGAAAAACTTCTATATATTAAAACTTCCACCTGGCTGAAAACGGATACAAATGAAATTCTAATATTTTCCCATATTCCAAAAGAAATAATTAAAACCCCAATCTGTACAATAATTCCATATCCAGATAGTAATCAAAACATTTTAATAGAAAATGTACAAATAAATTTTATGTTCAAAATAATCAAACTTATTTGGCATCTTCAAAAACTTTAATAATAAACAAATGCTTAACGGGCATACTTAACCAATTTAATACAGAATGCAGATATGTAAAAACTCATAAAGAATTTGAAATCAATTATGTCGAACCTAATATAATATTAACTTGGAACTTACCAAAAACCATACTTAACCAAAATTGCATAAATAGAGATATAATAATAGAGGGATTCCTAAGTCTTTATGGATATTTGAGATATAAAATGGAGCATTAACAATTTGTCTTAATATTTTTGATTGGTAGCGTTGTAGAATCTCAATATTTGAGTTGCTGGTAGTACCCTAGAGCTGTATGCCATAAGTCCACACGGGCTTTAGCTTTGTATAAACGGACTTTATTTTCCAGAGTGGTTGCAGATTTTCGGCCAAGCAACGAAGTCATCTTCAAACTTTTTAAATTTAGCTGCTGGTGCTTTGCTTTTGTGTGGTTTTTCCATGTTAGTCTGCGATCGAGGTGCAAGCCAAGGTACTTTTTGCATTTACTTTGTGGGATTGCTGATCCATTAAATGACACTTCTGGGCAGTCACCTCTTCTTAATGCAAAAGTTATTTACGCAGATTTCAGGGCGTTGACTTTAATTTTCCAAAGAAGGAACTAGCTTTCAATAAGGCGTAGCTCTGCTTGCAGGAGTTGTGAGGCATCCTCTTTAGTTGCATGTAAAAGTGTCTATTGGCTAATTATGACTTTAATAATAAAAAATATGGAGCAGGTAACCACTTTTTGATTTTATATAATTAGCCGTCATGCCAGACTCGATGAAACGCTTGTTGAACGCCAAGAAATGTTGCAGTGCAGTATTTTTTGCTCTCAAATGTTGATAAAATTTCATTTATTTTATTGCTCAGGGGTTGCGTGGCCTCTTCTGAATCCAAACTGATGTTCGGGTATGATAGCGAATTCGTCCAAGATTGGCAACATACTTTAGAAAATATTGACAACAAACTAATGGGACGGTACGATGTCACTTAATTTTCAGCCTTGTTTGGTTTAAGGATCATTATAATTTCTGCACATTTCCATTGGCTTGAGAAGTTGTCAACTCTTAAGATCGCATTAAATATAAGCGTAAGAAATCATATACACTTTGGTGGTAAATTTTTTAAGGTTATGCCATCTATTTTGTCCGAACCTTGAGCCTTTTTACTATTCAGCCATTTAATTTCTGATGAAACTTCATTAATACCGATTTTACGAATGGGTAAGCTCATTTGGCAGGGTGACTCGAGAAAGTTATCTACTTCTCTTTCTGTTTGCGGGTTATCAATATCATTTGGCTTAAATACAGAGCTTGTTCGTCATCAGATCTACACCATTCGCCATTACAGTTTCGGACTACTTTCTTTTTGCAGGTCGCTTAAGATATTTGGTTGCTCTCCATAAATTATGTTCGTTGTTACAAGAATGTGGATCTAGATTGCTATGATATTCAGCGAGAGATTCATTTCTTAAAGTTGACAGTAGTTTTTTAAGATGCAGCCTTGTTATACAATCTTTTGTCTGCTGGGTAGAAAGTTTTGTTGCATTCTTTTACGCAGATTTCTCTTGTGTTGTATTTGTTATTGGATTTCAGCTGAGAGATAGGGCTGATTTGATTGTCAGTTTCTGGCTGGAAGCTTCGTACATATATAGCTTGCTTTATGGATCTTGTTTGTGAGAAGCTCCACAGCATGGTCTATCTCCTCCCCTGATTTTAGCGAGATATCCAGACTGATAGCAGTTTCCAGATAGCTTTTAAACGCATTGATATCAGTACTTGCAGAAATTACTTTGTATGGTTTTGTCAATATATGAGCTACTGTACTGTATGTCACTATTATTGGAGAGTGGTCTCAGCTTAGATCAAAACTTTCCATTATTCGCATATGTGATTGTGGGATTCCATACTGTAGCATACTTTACGAAGTCTATTAAGTCTGGTATCTTTCTACTGTCAGTAGGTCAGTATGTAGGCTTGCCGTTTGAAAGTGTTGTTAAGTATGTTGTTAACTATGCATTTGTACAGTTCACTTCCCTTCGGATTTGTCAATCTGGAGCCCCTCCAAGGGTGCTTAGCATTGACGTCGCCTCCTACTATAAACTGTGGTCCAAGTTTTTGAAAAAAGTTCTTAAAATCTGCTTCTTTGAGAGCAAATCTTGGGGGAAGATATAGTGCTGTTACATATACGTCCGCATGCATACATTTGATCTTGACAGCCTGCATAGCATTTTCTCTAATGCTGTCCATAATTTGAAATTTTAGGCCGTGTTTAATTAAAATAGCTGCGCCACCATGAGTTCTGCCCGAGGGATGGTCAGCTCTAATTATATCATATCCAACAACCTTGATATATGATTTGCTGGTGAAGTGTGTCTCGGAAATTAACATAATGTCAATCGTTTTTATAAAGATGGATATTTCATTGACATAGTTGGAAAGCCCATTGGCATTCCATATTTCTAGGTTAGGATTTACTTGCATAATTTGTTTACAAGTAACATTATCATGTTAAGTAAATTATTAGTAAGTTCAGACTGTTTTTCTAATAGTTCTATCCTCTCCAGTGAAGTGTTTGTTTTGCTATTTCCTGCAGCAATTTTGGGATAAGATTGATAATCGTTACTTTGTTGGGTATATGTTGGTTTGTTAGGCGGAGCAAACGATTGCGGGATTCCTAAATCATTTTTACTCTGGTCTCTATTGCTATTTACAGATTTTCGATTCGTTGCTGATTTTTTTGACAAGAGTCTCCGATAAATTCTACACCCTGGCGGCGTGTTCTTCGTAGCAGTTGGCACATTTTGCTGGTTGTTCTGTATTTTTCGGGCAGATGTTGCTTGGGTGTCAAGAAAAGCATTTTACACAGCGGTACGTTTTGGCACAATATGATTTTGTATGTCCGAATTCCTAGCAGCGATAGCATTGAACGATTTCATTGGTTTTGCGGGGTGGCTCTATATTGACAATAGCGTTACCTATGTGTTTTACATTATATATGTCTCGGTTTTTGTTGTTAGGCTCAATATCTACATAGAACATGTTCAGTGGCGTTTTGGTCGCACGGCTTTTAATAATATTTATGCTTCTAACAACATGACCTTTTGACTCTACATCACTTTTAATTTCATCTAAATTTGTAGAAAAATGCAAATTCTTAATAACAACTCAAAATTCTCTGTCTTCCTTAAGCTGGTATGTGTGGTACTTCACACAATCATTATTAAGTGTTTTGACTAATTTTCTGAATTCTTCAATACTTTTAACAATTACTCTGACATGTTCATCACGTTGAGTCTTATAATAGTAAAGTTCTCTTTTAATTTTAGAATTATATCATCATTCACTTATATCATTGACGTCAGACAGAATGATAGGTGGGAGCTTAGCAGAATCAGTTGCGCTGTCTTCAATTACCATTTCGAGATCTTCGTTTTTGTCGTCTTTGTTTTCTCTTTTGTCGGGCACTCCGCCTCTTAAGAGAGCGAATTAATTTGCGCTAGTGCTTAATGAGTTGTCCAGTGAATTTTGTTTCTTTGAACTTCGGGAGAGGCTTGGCTTGGTCTTTTTCTTGGCTTTGATTTTACTCTCTGCCATTTCAAAGCAGTTAGGTATTCATCGCTGTCGCTCATGTTGACAGCAATGAGAGTCAACAGTTACTTGGTGCTTATCAGCATCCACAAACTTATGGTTGTATTTCACGACTGTAACACAAGAAATAACCGAATCTTAAGCAGAAGCCTAAGCACAAACTAGGCACGTCCAAAATCAAAGAGTTTTCGATCGCGACTTCCACAAGCTGTCCGCTCCGTGGGTGAGATTCGAGCGAGGAATCCGTTGCTGGCTTTACATTACAAAAGACTTTATTATATCTAGTGGTTCTGAATACACAATACCTGGTATAATTTCAGCATCTCTGAAAGTTTCCACTTCTGGAGTGTTGACAGTAATCCGCGTCGATCTGGCCATGTCCGTCCGTCTGTCCGTACGATCGCCTCGATCTCAGGAACTACAAAATCTAGAATGTTGAGACTAAGCACTCAGCTTCCAGAGTTTCAAAATGTTGCCACGCCCACTCTAACGCCCACAAACTGCACAAAACAGTCACGGCCACCCTTTTGAAAAATGTGATATTTTTTCACTTCTTTATATATCTTGTAAATTTCTATAAATTTGTCAAAATACTTTTTGCCACGCCCACTTTGAAGATCACAAACCGAACAAAACTCTTAAGCCCACACTTTTAAAAATTTGTTTAGTTTTATTTTCATTTAATTATTTTTTTCCAATTTCTACCGATATTCCAGAAAATTTTGAAATTTCTCGTTTCCACTAGCTGAGTAACTGCTATCTGATAGTCGGGAACTCGACTATAATATTCTATCGTGTTTAAATCTGAAAATTGCCAATCCAACATTTTTTAATTCATATTATTTTGTATTCATGTTATAATACATACTTTACCTTTAATTTCACACAAGATTAATAATATAATGTTTTCAGTGATAATTACTTATTATTTATTTAGTGCCTCATACGAAATACTTTCCTTTAGTCGTAATGGCGACGGCGGAAATTTATTGGTGTAACTGGAGTGATAGATTATATTAATTAATAATAAGTCTCTTGCTCCACCCAGCCGCCTGGGTTTCTTCTTATTAGAAATCGGCGACTCTCATCAAAAATAAAAATTAATAACCCAAAAGGAAGTGCATATATCCACCAAATAAATCTGAAAAACATCAAGAACATTAGTTTTAAACCGTTTTTCATATTAATTTGTACTTACTTTATGGAATACATTCTTAATGTTTTTTCAAATACTGGAACATAGCATAGTATACAGGCAATAATGATTTCAAGAACCAAAGCGAAGTTAAGTACATGATTGCTCATACCTTGTTGCAGGATTGAGTTTCGACGAGTTTTGCATATTAAAAGGTCAAATACCTGTGTCACAACAATCGACACAAAAAATCCGGTACTTGCTCTATATTCAAGAACTTTACGTTCTCTGTAGGTCTAGAAACATTTAAAAAGAAAATAGGTAAAAGAATAATAATAGAAATAATATAACAAAATACAGTTACCCATTCTTGTCCGTAGCCATCTTCAAGGTCTTCCACATACTTTGAGTCCCAGTTCTCTCGAATTCCTTTAAGTCTGGACGGGGGAAATCCATGCTCTGCCATTATTGCAAAAAAAGTAAAGAAAGCTGCAACAGCTTGTATAACTCCAATTTGCAAGTAAGCCATTAGAATTAACCTAATAATTTATTTTTTTAATCATTACTTAAGGTATTACATTAAGGTATACGGAGTACGCATAAAGTTTTGCAAGCAAACTACATATTCTTAAACCTCCTTTGGCAAAGTATGTTGATATGCACAAAAAATTAAAAAATACTTTTTGAGTAATTGTGCGCGGGTGCATGTCTAACGCCCAGTGTCATAACGCAATTCGGGGGATTGACAAAAACAAGATTAAACTGCGTTGCTTCAGGACAAATGATCGGAAGATAATAACTTCATAAAATAAAGTTCTGGGAGTAAACTTTGAACATAATAATCTAATGTATACGAATATGAAAAATTATTTGTTTATTAAACTCTTAGGTCCAATGAGGATCTTTATATCAGATACCCTTTACACCCTAATCAAGTAAAAAATTATTTACAAATTTAAGAAAAAATGGGTATGTTTACTAATCTCTAGCCTACACACAATGATATATTATAAATTATTTATACGACCACTCTGGACCTGTCGTATATTTTTTGTGTATTGGGTATAAAAACTTACTTTTTATTTACCAAACGGTCTTCAAAAGGATCTCTTGGCATACGCGCCATTATATCAGATTCCGCTTTTTCATAAGCTAGCGATATTGCCGGAAGCATATCAGTGCCGATATCGATGCAAAGAATTGCTATAGTGCCTAGAGCTAAAGGTATATCAAATAACACAAAAAATAAAAACGGCAATATCTCCGGAAGATTTGAAGTTAATGTATATGCGATGGACTTTTTGAGATTATCGAAAATAATCCGCCCCTCTTCAATACCAACAACAATTGATGCAAAATTGTCATCCAGTAGAATCATATCTGCCGCCTGTTTAGAAACATCAGATCCAGAAATACCCATGGCAACCCCAATATCAGCTCTCTTTAATGCTGGGGAGTCATTAACACCATCGCCAGTTACAGCAACAATTTCACCACGTCTTTGACAAGCTTCTACGATTAAAAGCTTCTGCTGTGGAGATGTTCGGGCAAAAACGATTTCATTATGATAGTATATAACAGCGTCCAATTCTTCTGCTTTCATGTCACGTAGCTCACCACCGTGAACCACAATAGAAGTAGCTTGTCGGGGATCGATTTCGAGTACTGTAACGCCACGTTCTTTGGCCATGTCCCCTGCAGTAGGCGTTGTAATAATGCCCACACTACGGGCTATGGCTTTAGCAGTAATAGGGTGATCTCCGGTTACCATAATTACACGTACACCTGCTGAACGGCACTTTGCAACTGCGTCTGGGACTGCCACTCGTGGCGGGTCTATTAACGATATTAATCCAAGAAAACGAAGATTTTCTAATGGAAAGTTTGGAGGATCTGCTCTAAAATCGTAAGAAATTTGATATTCAGTCATGGGAAGTATGAGGTCAGCAAATCCTAATACTCTTTCACCCATTCCGCCCATTTCTAAATAAGCTTCTTCAAATTCCATTTTTAATGCAGGCGTAAGTTCTACAGACTGTCCTTGAATTATTATCTTAGTACAGCGATCCAATATTCTCTCTGGAGCCCCTTTCATCTCAAGTATAAAGTATCCATCGCTTGAATTAAATTCGTGAACAGAAACTTGATACTTTTCTGTTGAATTAAAGGGAATTTCGGTCAATTTCAAATGCTTTTGACGAAAAGCACTGATACCTCCAAAAACCGATTCGGTGAATTTTAAAAGAGCAGCCTCTGATGCATTCCCATTAACATCTTTTTTAAATACGGGAATATCATCTTGACCTCCTTTAAACTCAGCTGAATTGCAAAGTGCGGCACACATAAAAAGAGCATAAAATGATTTATCCTCCATTTTAAAGTGGGATCCTCGGAATGATTCAGTAGTGTCAGATTCAACAATTTTTTGATCATACCATAAGTGAGCAACAGTCATTCGATTTTGAGTAAGGGTTCCTGTTTTATCCGAACAGATTGTTGATGTCGATCCTAAAGTCTCAACAGCTTCTAAGTTCTTAACCAAACAATTTTTGGAAGCCATGCGTTTTGCAGTAAGGGTTAAACATACAGTTACTGTTACTAGTAACCCCTCAGGGACGTTTGCAACTATAATTCCAATAAGAAACACAACTGCATCAATAAATTCATAACCTAGTGTTAAACTTATTGCAAAAAAAGATAGTCCTAGTACCAATGCAAATATTGTAATAACCTGAATAAAATGTTGTATTTCCCTGGAAATAGGTGATTGTACGTCGTCCAGTCCTGCCGCTAAGTTTGCTATTCGTCCCATCACTGTGCTGTCACCAGTAGCAATGACAACACCTCGGCAAGTACCTTCAAGTACGTTTGTAGAAAAAAAAGCCAAGTTTCTTGTTTCCAATGGGTTTTCATGTGTAAATTCTGTAGATCTCACTTGAGGCTCGGATTCTCCAGTTAAGGAAGAGTTATCCACTTTAAGTCCATGAGCTTCTAATATTCGAATGTCAGCTGGAACCCTATCACCAAATTTAACTTCTACAATATCTCCCTTTACTATTTCGTTTGAACTAATCGTGTTTATTTCCCCTTCTCGTATAACTGTAGCGTATTGCGGAACAAGGTTCTTAAATGAGTCCATTATGGAAGAGGATTTATGAACCTAAAATGTAAATCATTATTAAAACTACTATCACAAAAATGGTAATAATTATTTTCATATTAAAAAGTAAGTTATGCAGTACAATTCAACATATACGAGTTACAGATACTCGATTCCCGTAGGCAAACAATCAACCGGTATATCGATATATTTCGGTATATCGATAAATATCCTTCTACCTGTTACATACTTTTCAAGGAATCCAGTAAAACGTTTTACTCTACTAGTAACGGGTACTAGTCTACTTGTACTCTACTAAAACAAGATAGAATGCTATAGTCGAGTTCCTAGACTATCAGATACCCGTTACTCAGCAAGTGGAAGTGCAAACGAGAAATTTCAAAATTTTCTGGAATATCGGTAAAAGCTAAAAAAAAATAACGCAACATTTTTAAAAAGTGTGGCCGTGACAGTTTTGTTTGGTTTGTGGGTGTTAGAGTGGGCGTGGCAACATTTGGAAACAAACCTGTGCTGCGTCTATGTCTCTGGAAGCTGCATGCTTTATCTCAACATTCATTCTTTTGTAGATCCTGGGATCGAGGCGTTCATACGGAAAGACGGACGGACATGGCCTGATCGACTCGGCTAATGATCCTGATCATGAATATATAAACTTTATAAAAAAAAAAAAGTTTCCTTCTGCCTGTTACATACTTTTTAAGGAATCTAGTATACCCTTTTACTCTACGACGATAGCACAGGTCTCTAGTCCCAGGTATTCAGAAGTTATGAGCGTGTAAAATGTAGCGATTTAGCTGTTTTAATGCCAAACTAGCGGGTTTTTCGAAAAGTAGTAGAACTAAAGTTTCTAATATCGACCTATTATTCATAAATTAACTGGTTCATGGCCCTAGAAATCGTATGGATACGTTCATACAAAATTCATTCGTCAAAAACGGTTATTGTTTTGAATTGGGGTGTTGGTATGTTGTTTTTGCCAAATTCGTCAAGCCGAGGACCTACCCTGCAGTTGAAGTTTATTAATAATATTTTTACATTATGGGAAATCATTTCTATAATGCGCCGCAAATACCTGAATGAAAATTGGTAGTACAAGTTATGTTCAACAAAAAAAAGGTTGGGCATATACAATTTGATAGAACAGTTTACACAATACTACTTAAAATAAAATATAAAAAAGCATTTTTAAATAAAATCCATAATTATCTAAATTCATAATTTATGAGCTTCCAATTTAAATTAAATATTTAATTTTTTATGATAAATTGTATATTCCTAATTTAATTATTTTCTATAATTTTCAATTAATGTCTATTGCACAAAGAAGCTTGCGCTTATTTTCAATTAACTTGTAATTTTCTTTTGTTTTTCTGGCATTTACTTGATATAGTCACTCGGTTGTCGAACCTGTATAGATAGTAGACTCTTGGAAACGTTTAATGCAGATAGCGTTAAAAATGAAAGACTAATTTGGGTACAAAGGACGGAGAGACATATGTATTTGTTTATAATCAAGAATATACAACACAAAGTCGCAATTGCGCTGGCAACCTCTGACTGAAATCAATATATTAGTTTGACAAATATCTCCCTTCCGCCTTTTTGTCTTTTGAATTTCGCGGCTATGTACAAAGCGCTAACGTATCTGGCAATACTATACATAATTTGAAAGGTCTTGACAACCTACAAAACGACGCTATGCATGATTAGTTTGGATATTGCGTTCAACAGTTATAGACGTGTAAACATGGAGTTCGCTAACGCCGAAATTCGCGCTATTTTAAAGTTTTCCTTCGTTAAAGGCAAATCCGCTAGAGAAACGTTCCGTGAGATTAATGGTGTTTTGGGGGATGGTACTCTATCACTTCGAACCGCGGAGGAATGGTTTCGACGATTCAGAGCCGGTGAAAACGACTACATGGATAAGCCAGCCGGCGGAAGACCTGTGACGACAAATACCGATCAAATCATGGAATACATCGAGTTAGACCGGCATGTGGCATCTCGTGACATCGCCCAGGAGATGGGAGTTAGTCACCAAACCATTTTAAACCATCTGCAGAAGGCTGGATACAAATAAAAGCTTGATGTTTAGGTGCCTCATGATTTGGCGCAAAAAAACCTTCTGGACCGAATCAACGAATGCGATATGCTGCTGAAACGGAACGAACTCGACCCATTCTTGAAGCGGATGGTGACTGGCGACGAAAAATGGATCACATACGACAATATCAAGCGAAAACGGTCGTGGTCGAAGGCCGGTGAATCGTCCCAAACAGTGGCCAAGCCGGGATTGACGGCCAGGAAGGTTTTGCTGTGTGTTTGGTGGGATTGGAAGGGAATCATCCACTATGAGCTGCTCCCATATGGCCAGACGCCTAATTCTACCATCTACTGCGAACAACTGGACCGCTTGAAGCAGGCAATCGACCAGAAGCGTCCAGAATTGGCCAACAGGAAGGGTGTAGTGTTCCACCAGGACAACGCCAGACCACACACTTCGTTGATGACTCGTCAGAAGCTACGGGAGCTCGGATGGGAGGTTATATCGCATTCACCATATAGCCCGGACATAGCGCCAAGTGATTACCACCTGTTCCTGTCCATGGCGAATGCTCTTGGTGGTGTAAAGTTGAACTCAAAAGAGGCTTGTGAAAAGTGGCTGTCCGAGTTCTTCGCAAATAAGGAGGGGGGCTTCTACGAGGGAGGTATTATGAAGTTGCCGTCTAGATGGAAACAGATTATCGAACAAAACGGCGCATATTTGAACTAAATCCGATCACTGTAACACTTTTTATAAAGCATTGAGTAAAGAGCAAATAAGCTATTTTGAGCTATAAAAAGATATTTGCCAACCTATTATATGGTATATACATACATATGTATGTGTAACAAGTCAACTGGGTCTTTCCATTTATATACTTCTCATGGCTTTAACCATTTGTCTGGCTATAATTGTAATTTTAAGGTACCTTTATTTAGCATGTTTATTTATTTACCTGAAAATATGTATATAATCCAGTGACTATTACCAAAACGGCCAATGCAATGCCAAGATAAAGATTGTCCTTTGGTGGTTCGTGCTGCGTTTTTAATTGTATAAGATATCCAACGAAACAAAGAAAAGATCCTGACCAAAGTAGTATAGCAAATCCTCCAAACATGGTTTTTAGAAAAACTATCCATTGTGGAGTTGGAGGCTGTGGCGTTAGTATGTTAGGACCATTTATTTCCAATCTTAATTTGGCCTCCAAATGGGATAAGCCCTATTAAAAAAATATTATGCATTATAAACGACTTATTATATATTATATATATCATACCATGTGGGGATCTGTCTTTAAGCGCTCTAATAGTTCGTCTACAGATATTTTATGATTATCAGTTTCCACATCTTTTTTAAAAGACTGAATGTCCTTTTTATGTTGCTTTCCATTAATTTTGCTTTTATGTTCTTTTTTTTTTTTTGTTGGCATCTTTTAAATTTTGTACCCTGCGTTTGACATTTGATGAAAACAGCTATGCTCTAGTGATAGAATGAAATAGTGATTGCTAAATAAAATAGTGATTGCTATATAAACAGTGATTGCTAAATAAAATTGTCTTGCTAAATAAAATAGGTATTGCAATAGTGATGGCTAAATAAAATAATGATTTCCTAATAAAATAGTGATTACTAAATAAAATAGTGGTTGCTAAATAAAATAGTGATTGCAATCGTGATTGGTAAATAAAAATGGTTGCTTAATAAAATAGTTATTGCCTAATAAAATATGGAATGCTAAATAATGAAGTGATTGTTAAATAATATAGGGATTGCTAAATATGATAAAGTTTGCTAAATATAATAGAGATTACTAAATAAAATAATGACTGCTAAATAAAAAAGAGATTGCTAAGTAAAATAGTGATTACTGAATAAAGTGGTGATTGCTAAATAATATAGTGGTTGCTAAATAATATAGTGATTGCTAAATAAAATAGCTATTGCTAAATAAAATAGTGATTGCTTAGTAAAAAGTCATTCCTAAATGAAATAATGATTGCTAAATAAAATAGTTATGACTAAATAAAATAGTGATTGCTTAATGAATCAGTAATTGCTAAATAAAACAGTGATTGCTGCAATAAATAGTAATTGCTTAGTAATAGCTAAGTAAAATTGTGATTGCTAAATTAAATAGTGATTGCTTAATGAAGTAGTGAATGCTAAGTAAAATATCTATCACTGAATAAAGAAGTGTTTGCTAAATAATATATTGATTGTTAAATAAAATAGTGATTGTTAACTAAAATAGTGATTGCATAATTATGTATTGATTGCTAAGTAAAATAGTGATTACTAAAAAAATTGCTAAATAAAATAACGGTTGCTAAATAAAATAGTGATTGCTGAATAAAGCAGTGATTGCTAAATAAATTAGTGATTGCTAAGTAAAATAGTGATTGCTAAATTAAACAGTGATTGTTAAATAAGTTGTTAAATAAAATAGTGATAGCTAAATAAAATAGAGACTGCTAAATAAATAAAAAATTGCTAAATAAAATAGAGATTGCTAAGTAAAACAGTGATCGCTAAGTCAAATAGTGAGTACTGAATAAAGTAGATTGTATAATAAAATAGTATTAAATAAAATAGTTAAAAATAAAATAGTGATTGCTAAATAAATATAATGGTGCTAAATAAAATAATTTTTGCTAAAAAAATATTCATTGCTCATTAATGTAGTGATTGTTAAATAATACAGAGATTGCTAAATTATATAGTGGTTGCTAAATAAAATATTTATAGCTAAATAATGTAGTTATTGTTAAATAAAATAGTTATAAATAAAATAGTTAGTTATAAATATTACGTTTTTAGGTGTGGGCGACCCAAAATAAAATTTATTAAGGCACAAAATTGCTTTTTTTTGAAAAAATGAAAAAACATTTTTTTAGAGGGTAGGGAAACGCCAAATACTTTTTTATTGGGTAGAAAATAGTTTTTATTATAAATATTACGTTTTTAGGTGTGGGCGACCCAAAATAAAATTTATTAAGGCACAAAATTGCTTTTTTTTGAAAAAATGAAAAAACATTTTTTTAGAGGGTAGGGAAACGCCAAATACTTTTTTATTGGGTAGAAAATAGTTTTTATTATAAATATTACGTTTTTAGGTGTGGGCGACCCAAAATAAAATTTATTAAGGCACAAAATTGCTTTTTTTTGAAAAAATGAAAAAACATTTTTTTAGAGGGTAGGGAAACGCCAAATACTTTTTTATTGGGTAGAAAATAGTTTTTATTATAAATATTACGTTTTTAGGTGTGGGCGACCCAAAATAAAATTTATTAAGGCACAAAATTGCTTTTTTTTGAAAAAATGAAAAAACATTTTTTTAGAGGGTAGGGAAACGCCAAATACTTTTTTATTGGGTAGAAAATAGTTATTTATTATAAATATTACGTTTTTAGGTGTGGGCGACCCAAAATAAAATTTATTAAGGCACAAAATTGCTTTTTTTTGAAAAAATGAAAAAACATTTTTTTAGAGGGTAGGGAAACGCCAAATACTTTTTTATTGGGTAGAAAATAGTTATTTTATTATAAATATTACGTTTTTAGGTGTGGGCGACCCAAAATAAAATTTATTAAGGCACAAAATTGCTTTTTTTTGAAAAAATGAAAAAACATTTTTTTAGAGGGTAGGGAAACGCCAAATACTTTTTTATTGGGTAGAAAATAGTTATTTATTATAAATATTACGTTTTTAGGTGTGGGCGACCCAAAATAAAATTTATTAAGGCACAAAATTGCTTTTTTTTGAAAAAATGAAAAAACATTTTTTTAGAGGGTAGGGAAACGCCAAATACTTTTTTATTGGGTAGAAAATAGTTATTTATTATAAATATTACGTTTTTAGGTGTGGGCGACCCAAAATAAAATTTATTAAGGCACAAAATTGCTTTTTTTTGAAAAAATGAAAAAACATTTTTTTAGAGGGTAGGGAAACGCCAAATACTTTTTTATTGGGTAGAAAATAGTTATTTATTATAAATATTACGTTTTTAGGTGTGGGCGACCCAAAATAAAATTTATTAAGGCACAAAATTGCTTTTTTTTGAAAAAATGAAAAAACATTTTTTTAGAGGGTAGGGAAACGCCAAATACTTTTTTATTGGGTAGAAAATAGTTATTTATTATAAATATTACGTTTTTAGGTGTGGGCGACCCAAAATAAAATTTATTAAGGCACAAAATTGCTTTTTTTTGAAAAAATGAAAAAACATTTTTTTAGAGGGTAGGGAAACGCCAAATACTTTTTTATTGGGTAGAAAATAGTTATTTATTATAAATATTACGTTTTTAGGTGTGGGCGACCCAAAATAAAATTTATTAAGGCACAAAATTGCTTTTTTTTGAAAAAATGAAAAAACATTTTTTTAGAGGGTAGGGAAACGCCAAATACTTTTTTATTGGGTAGAAAATAGTTTTTATTATAAATATTACGTTTTTAGGTGTGGGCGACCCAAAATAAAATTTATTAAGGCACAAAATTGCTTTTTTTTGAAAAAATGAAAAAACATTTTTTTAGAGGGTAGGGAAACGCCAAATACTTTTTTATTGGGTAGAAAATAGTTATTTATTATAAATATTACGTTTTTAGGTGTGGGCGACCCAAAATAAAATTTATTAAGGCACAAAATTGCTTTTTTTTGAAAAAATGAAAAAACATTTTTTTAGAGGGTAGGGAAACGCCAAATACTTTTTTATTGGGTAGAAAATAGTTTTTATTATAAATATTACGTTTTTAGGTGTGGGCGACCCAAAATAAAATTTATTAAGGCACAAAATTGCTTTTTTTGAAAAAATGAAAAAACATTTTTTTAGAGGGTAGGGAAACGCCAAATACTTTTTTATTGGGTAGAAAATAGTATTTTATTATAAATATTACGTTTTTAGGTGTGGGCGACCCAAAATAAAATTTATTAAGGCACAAAATTGCTTTTTTTTGAAAAAATGAAAAAACATTTTTTTAGAGGGTAGGGAAACGCCAAATACTTTTTTATTGGGTAGAAAATAGTTTTTTATTATAAATATTACGTTTTTAGGTGTGGGCGACCCAAAATAAAATTTATTAAGGCACAAAATTGCTTTTTTTTGAAAAAATGAAAAAACATTTTTTTAGAGGGTAGGGAAACGCCAAATACTTTTTTATTGGGTAGAAAATAGTTTATTTATTATAAATATTACGTTTTTAGGTGTGGGCGACCCAAAATAAAATTTATTAAGGCACAAAATTGCTTTTTTTTGAAAAAATGAAAAAACATTTTTTTAGAGGGTAGGGAAACGCCAAATACTTTTTTATTGGGTAGAAAATAGTATTTTATTATAAATATTACGTTTTTAGGTGTGGGCGACCCAAAATAAAATTTATTAAGGCACAAAATTGCTTTTTTTTTGAAAAAATGAAAAAACATTTTTTTAGAGGTTAGGGAAACGCCAAATACTTTTTTATTGGGTAGAAAATAGTTATTTATTATAAATATTACGTTTTTAGGTGTGGGCGACCCAAAATAAAATTTATTAAGGCACAAAATTGCTTTTTTTTGAAAAAATGAAAAAACATTTTTTTAGAGGGTAGGGAAACGCCAAATACTTTTTTATTGGGTAGAAAATAGTTATTTATTATAAATATTACGTTTTTAGGTGTGGGCGACCCAAAATAAAATTTATTAAGGCACAAAATTGCTTTTTTTTGAAAAAATGAAAAAACATTTTTTTAGAGGGTAGGGAAACGCCAAATACTTTTTTATTGGGTAGAAAATAGTTATTTATTATAAATATTACGTTTTTAGGTGTGGGCGACCCAAAATAAAATTTATTAAGGCACAAAATTGCTTTTTTTTGAAAAAATGAAAAAACATTTTTTTAGAGGGTAGGGAAACGCCAAATACTTTTTTATTGGGTAGAAAATAGTTATTTATTATAAATATTACGTTTTTAGGTGTGGGCGACCCAAAATAAAATTTATTAAGGCACAAAATTGCTTTTTTTTGAAAAAATGAAAAAACATTTTTTTAGAGGGTAGGGAAACGCCAAATACTTTTTTATTGGGTAGAAAATAGTTATTTATTATAAATATTACGTTTTTAGGTGTGGGCGACCCAAAATAAAATTTATTAAGGCACAAAATTGCTTTTTTTTGAAAAAATGAAAAAACATTTTTTTAGAGGGTAGGGAAACGCCAAATACTTTTTTATTGGGTAGAAAATAGTTATTTATTATAAATATTACGTTTTTAGGTGTGGGCGACCCAAAATAAAATTTATTAAGGCACAAAATTGCTTTTTTTTGAAAAAATGAAAAAACATTTTTTTAGAGGGTAGGGAAACGCCAAATACTTTTTTATTGGGTAGAAAATAGTTTTTATTATAAATATTACGTTTTTAGGTGTGGGCGACCCAAAATAAAATTTATTAAGGCACAAAATTGCTTTTTTTTGAAAAAATGAAAAAACATTTTTTTAGAGGGTAGGGAAACGCCAA